GAATACCTTTGTGTAGAATTAGCTTGAACAAATTAGAGGAAAGACTGCAAATGCAATGAAATATTTTACTAAAACGTGTAATTAAAACAATTTCTCATAAATTCCTTCTGTTTTTGTATATTTGTTCTATTTAAAACATTTTCAGAATGAGTGAAGTGTGTGACCATTGATTATTAGAGAGCATATAGCTGTAATATAGTCAATATCTGGGAAATATTGTTTATTTTCTGAGTGATCTTGTATATGTAATTCACTTATCTGGGCTTTTAAAAAATTTTTAATCTTGGAGTAGGCCTTATCTCAAAAAAATCTTTGAAAATTTTAAGTTCTGTTAAGTCCTCTCTTTACAGCCCAGTGGAGAGAGAAGCATTTGAAAAATGAGTGAATAATGTTTGCTATATAGCATTAATAAACACAAGATATCGCTAGAGACAGAAGATGTTTAAGAGAACACCACTGGGGCTTGTTTCTACAATCCCTGTGATTTTTATCTTCCTTTTCTTAAATGTACAGGAAACTTCCTAGTCTCTTACCAATCACTGACTTGTCTTGCTTTCCATCATCTGATTTTTCTCATATACAATGTAAGCTGTCTTCCCAGTGGCTGGAACAGTGCCAGGCACCTGGCAGGTGTCTAGTATATATTTAACGAGAAAACAGAGGCAAAAGGTGAACAGTACTGGGAACATCCTTGCCAGTAGATGTGAGGAAACAAGGCCCTTTCTCTCCGAAGGCAACCATTCTTCCTGTTCATGTGTCACATGGGTGTACGTGTTTGGGCTATGCCAACCCATTTAACAATGGGCCCATGCACGCTTGTGGTTGGTTAAGTGTGACTTTAGAATTTATTTATTTATTTTTATTTTTGTACAGTTGTGGATGGGCAGCATGCTTTTATTTTATTTATTTATATGGTGTTGAGGATGGAACCCAGTGCCTCACACATGCTAGGCAAGTGCTCTGCCACTGAGCCGCAGCCCCAGCCTCAACTCCTGAAATTTAGAGTCTTACACAACAGTCCGAAAGTTATAGTTCTGTCATCTCCGATTGCCCCTTGGTCCTACAGATGCCCTCAAATTTCGGGTGTTATTAAGCAGTTTGTGGACTGCAGCTCTGGGATTCACCTGATAAGAGCACACATCCACTGAAGCTTTCTATTCTAATTAACCCTGCCAGGGCTTTCTAGAGGGAAGGCTCAGAGGTCACTGCAGAACACAAAATGTGCCCATACAAGCCCTAAGCACATGGGTGGCCTCTGGCTGCGCAGACTTACAAAATTCAGGACACTAACTCCCGACCCATTGCTCGCAGGTGTTTAGATAGCTAGAGACACAGTTAACCGCCTCCAGCGGGCGGAGTGTGGCGCCCGCGGCCGAGATGGGCGGGAACCTGGAAGACCGCTTCCGGGACGCGCAAGCTGGCACTGCGCAG